CAAGACTCCAGTCCACGTGTGTCCCACGTGTGCCTCCAGCCAGCTGAGTGGCACAACAGGCAGCTTCTGTCTGGTGGGCGGCACAGGGCCCCTGCGTGTGCGTCCTCAGTGCCCCCCCAGGGTCTGTCCTAGTGGCCTGGGGCACCTGTTGTGGCTGAACCCCGCTTCTGCACGTCCTCCTCTTTCTTCCCCGCCGTGCCAGAGAGGGCCAGCGGTGCAGGCTGAGCCTCCTGGAAGTGAGGGGACCCCCTCAGCCCTGCTGTCCCTCCTGCCTGTGGAATCGCAAGTTTCCGGTGTGACCCAGCGCAGGAGGTGCAGAGATCAAGGACTCCCAGGGCCTCCTGGGGCTAGAGCGGCCCTCAGATGCTGGAAATCCCATCGCTTCACCAGAAGCCACACCCCTCAGACTGCAGACAACACTGGAGAACCAGGGATTTTGCACATCCCAGGATGTGTCCGCAGGTGCAGGTCCTGTCGGCCGCAGCAAGGCCCGCTCTGCATTTGTGTTAGCAGCGACACCACCAGTGAAGGGTGGGATTTTCCCAAGGGACCTCACAGGCCTGTGAGACACATGATGCTGTTGCCCTGTTTCTCAAAGGAGTAAACTGAGGCATCAGAGGGGTTAAGAAGCGGCTCAGGGTCACAGGGTGAGGCTGAGTGGGTCCCCCCACCCCGCATTCCTCACCACACCTCTACCTCCCAATGCCTTCTCCAGTCTCACCCGAGTTCCCAGGACAGAGGCCTCACTCCCTCCTGCACACATCATCACGTTGGGGCCAGGCTGAGGCCGGCATCAAGCCAGGCACTCAGGGGCCCATCACACAGCAGGGCTGAGCGCAGGCATTTCCACTGGGCAGGTGTAGAACAGCTGAAGCACCTGTTGCTATTCTTTGCTAAAATATGATGCACTGTTCAAAAAAAGACTGCATTTATGATATTAAAAGTAACATCCTCTGAGTGTTACAAAGTGTGGTTGATAATAGGACTAGAGGAAGGAAGGATAAATAATGCACACTTATTAACATTTGCTTATTTGAAATGTGAGAATAATTTGCACTCAAAGTTACATACTATCAAAGCAAAGACTTTAACACATTAACAGTTACTATCAAACACTTGCGGATTGTTCTAAGGGAAATGACCCGTCTCCTTTAATAAATGAAGAGCAAGAGAGGGAGGATCTAGGATGAACAGGTCCAGGAGACAAACCAAACAGATGCCAGCTATAGACTTTATCTGGATCCTGCGTCCAAAGACTAACTGTGAAAATCATCTTTAGGGCCAGCGCCGTGGCTCACTAGGCTAATCCTCCGCCTTGCGGCGCCGGCACACTGGGTTCTAGTCCAGGTTGGGGCGCCGGATTCTGTCCTGGTTGCCCCTCTTCCAGGCCAGCTCTCTGCTGTGGCCAGGGAGTGCAGTGGAGGATGGCCCAAGTGCTTGGGCCCTGCACCCCATGGGAGACCAGGAGAAGCACCTGGCTCCTGCCTTCGGATCAGCGCGGTGCACCGGCCGCGGCAGCCATTGGAGGGTGAACCAACGGCAAAGGAAGACCTTTCTCTCTGTCTCTCTCTCTCACTGTCCACTCTGCCTGTCCAAAAAAAAAAAAAAAAAAAAGCATCTTTAAGGGCCGATGTGACTGCTGGTGGCAGCTTGTGCGTTGTGGATGCACAGGAGTGACTGCTGAAGTACAGTGTGCCTGTGGTACTGTTGGGAAGCACACACATGCACCCTTCTTCCAGACAAGCACTGAGCCATCTGCAGATGGCAGCTGTGACGTCTGGAGTCTGCCGGGGAGAGCGGCACAGCTTCCTGCCAAAGCAAGATGGGCCAAAGCCCGCTCGTCACCGGACCTGGTTGTCACACGGGGCTCGCTGTGCTCATCTGCCTACTTCTGTGCCTGTCTCAAGCTTCCCATCAAGATGAGGGAGCAGCAGCAGGGCAGGCATTGCCCTGGGCCAACCCGAACCCAGCCACCGCACCTGCAGGCGCCACTCACAGGTCAGGAGCCGGTGGAGGCACTTAGGTCTCCGTATCTGGACTGATGTGGGATTGGCTAGAGAACTCCACAGGTGGAGCTGCTCCCTGGCTGCCCGTGAGCAGGGCTGACAAGGAAGGAGCAGACACCTCCCACGCAGGAGAGGAGAAAGCACCTGGGAGCCGGGCTTGCGGCAACTTGGGGAGCCTGCCTCCCATACCGCTGTGCGTTGGTGTTGCAGGGAGGGGCTCGCCAGCGAGTCAGCTGGGAAAAGCCTGCAGCCCTCGGGGGAAAGATGGAGTCTAGGAGCACAAAGAATGCAGCGCAGGTGCAGACAGATAGGGTGGGTATCCTAGTCAGACATCGCTGCTGGGTGAGGGAGGCCCCTCTGTGACAGCACCAACTGCCTGCCTCCTTCTGGAAGACAGGGTTTGCCACCAGTGTCCATGCACTTTCTGGGCATTAGCTCTGCCTTGCTCAGCATTTTTTTTTATAAGTTCCTGCCTTTTTTTTTTTTTTTTTTTTTGACAGGCAGAGTGGACAGTGAGAGAGAGAGACAGAGAGAAAGGTCTTCCTTTGCCGTTGGTTCACTCTCCAATGGCCGCCGCGGCCAGCGCGCTGCGGCCGGCGCACCACACTGATCCGAAGGCAGGAGCCAGGTGCTTTTCCCGGTCTCCCATGGGGTGCAGGGCCCAAGCACCTGGGCCATCCTCCACTGCACTCCCTGGCCACAGCAGAGAGCTGGCCTGGAAGAGGGGCAACCGGGACAGAATCCGGCGCCCCGACCGGGACTAGAACCCGGTGTGCCGGCGCCGCTAGGCGGAGGATTAGCCTAGTGAGCCGCAGAGCCGGCCTCAGCATTTAAGATGATGCTTGGGGGTGTGGGGGCAGAGAGATCCTATCTTGTGCAAATCGATAAGAGTGATTGATTAGAAACAAGCTGAGCCCTGGGTAACAGCCTAAGAATTGGGCTTAGGTTCAGAATCCTGGAGCAAGAGGCTCACTCTGAGGAGCTGAGAAAAGTCCAGAGGAACTCTCCTACTTGAACTTCAAAGTGTTCTAAAATGCAACGTCAGAATCCTTTGGGTGAGAGGTGGGGTGGAGGGTTTTGTTCAAAATGTAGAGTCCTTAGCCAAAAAGTACATGAGAAGACGCTCAGCGTCATCGGCCATCAGGGAGATGAAAACCAAGCCACAGGAAGGTGAAACGTCACGCTGCTGGGACGACTCTGATACAGCAGGTGCACGGTGACAAGTGTGGTGAGGAGGTGGAGCAACAAGCAACAGCAAGCTCGGATGCGGCGGGCGGGAACATGACGTGCAGTTGCCAGGGAAGAAGCCCCGAGGTTTCTCAAAAACAGGCATGGAGTCACCATGTGACCTAGCGACAAAACTCTAGTCTGCAACAACGGTCAAAGTAGCTTCTACCTGGGGCTGGCGCCGGGGCACAGCAGCAGGTGAAGGCGCAGGTACCGGCATCCCAAATGGGTGCTGGTTCGAGTCCCGGTTGCTCCACTTTCGACCCAGTCCCTTACGAATCCTCCTGGGAAAGCAGCGGAAGATGGCCCAAGTATTTGGGCCCCGCCCACTACGTGGGAGACCCAGGAGGAGCAGCGTCCACTCATAAGAGTTAAAAGGTGGCGACCACCGGAGTGTGGGTCTACTGACAAGCAGATGAACACTATGAGACGGGAGTGGTGTGGGGGTGGTGGGACTCACGTAATGCGGCATGGGAAAAGAAAACTGGGTTCAGAGTGCAGTGAGAAAGGTGGCAAACCATTCCTGGATGCTGACTTCTCCACACCTTCCTCTATGCTGTACCGTCCCTTTGTAGTCAGCAGCTAGGAATTCTGCTCCACGTTTTTTTTTAATAAGAATTTTGTGTGTGTGGGCAGGAAAACTAAGCCGTGGGGAGAGTGTCATTATGCTGTAGCTCCCTCCTAGCTGCCTCAGCTCGTACCCCAGAGGCCATCACGTACCCAGTAGCTGCCTTCTGCACGCCACGGCACGCAGAAAGCGCGTAGATGCGTGCGCGCAGGCAGTGTGTGCAGACCCCATCCCAGCTGTGAGGCCGACAGCGCGCTCCCTCTCTGCTGGGCCAGGCTGTGCCTCGCCCCGGCCTGTGGGGCTGCAGCCAGGGAGCCGCCCTGGGAGCTGGTGTCACCTGAGAGGGAAGTGTGGCCTCTCCTGGCTGCAAGGTCCCGTGAGTAGAGCTTGACCCCTCGCCTCTCCTGCACTGGGGCAAGGCAACGATGCTGAGTTAGCCGCAGAAGGCGGGGTGGCCGGCGGCAGCCTCATCTTTCTGGAAGCCTTCTTCCCGCAGAGGGGCCGTTCTGCACAGCAACCTAAACCCCGGGCCTGGCTCCCGCCAGCTGGGTGCCCGTGGTTTCTCGTGGCTTCCACCTTTGCCTCTGGCATAAATGTGCTTCGATGCCTCTCTGTGGAGTCTTCTCTGTATCAGTCGTACACTAGATTCTGACAATTTTGTGTGTGTATTTGCAACAGAAATCCATGAATTGTTCTTTCCAAGTTGTCTGGGGACCAAGAAAACCCAAAACATCACAGCCAAATGCGCCCCCTGCTAACTTCCCCGCATGGAAGCCTTGGGACCAGACAGAGCCTCAGAAACCTCACGGAGAGGGGGCTTGGAGGGATCTGCTCCGAGTTCAGACGAGAAAGCCGCACGGCGGTGCCCGGGCTGAACTCGGGCCTCCGCTCTCCACACAGCTCCTTCTGGGATCCTCCCTGTCCCGTTAGAGATGCAGGATGGAGGCTGAACTGACGAAAACACTCCAGAGAAGCTACTAGGAAATCACTGATTGTTTTTAAGAGCAGAGGACCAGCCCAAAGCATGAGTGATGACGTAACTCCCAACACCGCGTCCTTGGGCTGGGACATCTGTAAGCCGCAGTGGCTCGTGGGCGTTTCTGAGCGCCTGGCTGCCCAGGGTGGCACCTGCCCTCTCCAGTAGAAGCAAGTGTGGCTCACAGATCCGCTGGGCTCTGAGCATGGGGGCTACTACTCACCATTCTCCCGAGTTTAGGGTCCATTGGGCTGCAGTGACGAGGTGTCTGGCACTCGCTGGAGCTCCAAGGAATGTGAGCCCTGAGCAGTCACATTAATATCTCTCTGTGCCCTGAGCCACCCCGTGCCCCGGAAGGAAGACCAGGCTGGCATAGTGGACCCATTCACGCTGGAAAACAATGATGCTTCAAAGACACCCATTGAGTGCCATGTGCATTCCGGAAGGAACAATGCATGTCGTGTGTGCAGACAGAGGCCGAGGCAGTGGCCCCAAAATCATCTGATGTCACCAGAGGCCAGCGCCGGGCGCAGGCCGCGCTCCCCAGGTGTTTCCTGAGGCGCTGGCAGGACACGAGGCTTACGCGGCGGGCGCTTCTTCCCTGACGGCTCTGGCGGCCTTGGAGGTGTCGGCAGCGCTGGCTCCCTCCAAAGCTTCTCTTCCTGGCTTCCGGCAGCTGCCACTCTGTCCGGGCCCCTGCCTGCGTAGGCACCGCCCCATCTCTGCCCGCGACTCTGCCTGTGTGTGTGTTTGTCGGTGTCCTGTTCCTCCTTCTTACAGGGACAGGGGTCACCAGGGCCACCCTCCTCCAGGACGCCCTAGCGCCCACGCAAGGTCATGCTGAAGTCTTGGCGTTCAGACCTCAACATATGAGCTGGGATGGGATTCAGTTCTCCCCACTGCGGCCTTCAAGACCCCAGGTGAGAACTGGAGACAGCAGGCTCCTGGCCAGGCCTTTAGCTGAGGAGTCTGGAATGAGGCCGGAGGCAGTGGCCACAGGGCCCGGCCCCCCTCGCCCCTGGCCTTGGAGGAACAGGAGTCCCCCACGGTGCTGAGTCCCTGCCAGGGCTGTGAGCCTGGGGCTGGGGCCCCCATCCTGCCACACTCCCCACGCCGGCCAGCCTGGGGGCCCCGTGTAGAGGGAGGAAGGAGGGCGGAGGTCTGGTGGGGATGGATGCCCGCACCCCAGCTGCGAGGCCACCAGCAGATGTCCTGGGACCTGGCCAGCCACTGTACCCTCAGGTGAGCGCAGCGGGGTGGGGTGGCTCCACTAGGGGTCAGGGCGTTAGCAGGAAGTTAGTGTGTGAGAGGCCCTTAAAGGAAACCAAGCATCCGCAGGGGCTCAGAAGCAGCCCTGACAACGTCCTGCCCAGACAGGTGTCCCAGCCTTCCCCCAAGGAGAGCTCTCCAGGACAGTCCTCTCTTCTCAGCACCAAATGGGTTATCTGGCCTAAAAACACTGCGTGGTAAAACCTCGCCGCCTTCCCCCAAGGCAGGAGCCCTGGGGAAGCCCCTCTGCCAGGTGGGCTCCCCAGTCTGACAGCACTGAGCAGTGAACCCTGGGGAGCAGTTCCACCTGCTTGGCACTCAGAAAACCGTCTGTCCTGGAGAAGGGGGCGGGGAGGAGAAGAGAGCAGAACCGGCCCCCATTCCCTTATAAACCCCAGGCTGAGCACCGGCTGTGCGCTCAGCTCTCAGCCTTTCCTGAGCCCCCCCGCCGCGTGGCCTGTCCGTCAAACACATCCCCTCGCTTTCCCAGTCTGAGTGGCCGGGCTGTGTCTCTCGGATTCTGTCCTATCCATTCTGACAGATGCTCCTCCCGGTTATCCCTTGCTACCTTGCTGCCCACTGCCCTCCCGGATCCTTTCCAAGTTCCGTCTCCACGCTGGGCGGAGGAGACAGAGCCGTGGGAAAGAAGCCCTTGGCTGCGCGGCGCTATCAGAGGGAGAGGAGAGGAAGCTGTCAGATCTTTTTATTTTTGATTATCGTCCTAACAGACATGAGGTGATGCATTACTGTGGTTTTAATTTGCATTTCCCTGATACTAAAGACGCTGACCTACTTCTACCTACTTATCGACCATTCCTGTGTCTTCTCAGGGAAAACACCTATTCAGGTTCTTTGCCCGTTTCTCAGTTGGTACTTGTGTATTTTTGCTGTGCAGTTCCGTGAGTTGCTTAGACAGTTACAATGTGAACCCCTCATCAGTTATATAATTTGCAAATATTCTCTACTATTTCATAGGTTGCCTTTTCATTTTTTTGTTCCCTTTGCTCAGCAGGTTTTTAACTTGTGTAGTCTCGGTTGTTTATTGAAGCTTTTGTGGCCTGGGTTTTGGTGTCACATCCCAGAGACTGTCACCCAGATGTGCCGAGCAGCTTGCCCCTACGTCTTCTTCTGGGAGACTTGCAGTTTTAGATCGTACATTTGAGTCGTTAACCCATTTTGAGTTGACTTCATACGTGGCGTGAGATCAGAGTCCAGTTCCATTCCTGGTGTGTGTCCAGCTTTCCCAACGTCGTTTATTGAAGAGCCTCTTCTCTGTTCACTGTACAGAGCTTTCACACTCTGGACTAAATTTATTCCTCTCAAAAATATTTACTTTTATTTATTTGAAAGACAGTTAGAGAGAGAGGTAGAGACAGAGGTCTTCCATCCACTTGTTCACTCCCTAAATGGCTGCAACGGCTGGGGCTGGGCCGATTCGAAGCCAGGAGCTCCTTCTGGATCTCCCATATGGGTGCAGGGGCCCAAGCACTTGGCCCATCTTCTACTGCTTTCCCAGGTGCATTAGCAGGGAGCTGGATCAGGAGTGGAGCAGCCGGGACTACAACTGGTGCCCATATGGGATGCCTGTGCTACAGGCTGGGACTTTAACCCACTGAGCCCCAGGGCCAGTCCCTACATTTATTTGTAAGGATTTTATTCTCTTTGATGCTGTTGTAAATGGGATCATTTTAATTTCACTCTTCAATGGTTCATTTTTAGTGTATAGGAATGTAACATTTTTGGGGGTGATTTTGCATCTTTTTAAATGAATTTATTAATTCTAAGACGATTTGGTGGAATCTTCCACATTTTCTTTATAAAGACTTATTTATTTGAAAGGCAGAGTTAAAGAGAAATCTTCCATCATATGGCCAAAATGGCCAGAGCTGAGCCAATCAGAAGCCAGGAGCCAGGAGCTCCTTCTGGGTGTCCCACGTGGGTGCAGAGGACCAAGTGCCTGGGCCATCTTCTGCTGCTTTCCCAGGTGCATTAGCAGGGAGCTGGATGGGAAATGGGGCACCTGGGACTCGAACCGGTGCCCATGTGGGATGCTGGCACCAGCACCAGCAGCTTAACCTGTGTCACAGCGCCAACCCCTGCATTTTCTGTACACACAATCACATTATCTGCACAGAGATGACTTTACTTCCAATTTGGATGCCTTTCCTGTCTTCAAGCTTTTTTCTGTTTTCCTTGCTAGAGACATCATAGCATGAGGGGGCTTCAAAAAGTTTATGAAAAAAATGGAGTTAAGAGATATTTCTTTAAGAAGAAAAGATTTGACAGGTGGAGTGAGAGACACAGAGAGAGAATCTTTCATCCAGTGACTCACTCTCCAAATAGCCGTGATGGCTTTGGTCAAAGCCAGTAGCTAAGAATCCCATCTAGGTCTCCCACTGAGGTGGCAGAGCCCGAGTCCTGGGATCTTCCTCTGCTTTCTCAGGAGAGTAAGCAGGGGGCCAGGACTTGAACCAGCCATCCGATATGGGATGCCGGCAATGCAAACGTGGCTCAGCCTGCTGTGCTACAATGCTAGCCCCCAAAAATGTTCATTTTGGTGTAAAACACCTAAAGTCCATGTAGAGTGTTTCACAATGTGCCCTTTCCATGACCTTGGGGACCTCCTGAGTGGCATTCAGAGGGGAACCTAAAGCTGACTTCCAGCTCGGGGAGGCCCCCTACTGCCCCATTAACTGTGCTCTCTCCTGGGTCCCAGGGCTTTTCCCTAGGCCGTTTCCCTGCCTGTCAAGCAGTTTGCAGTGGCCCTATCACTGCTTTCCAAACAATGAGATGCAAATGAAGAAACGGAGGAAGCAAATTCTGGCTTGGGCCCTGCACCTCGCCAGGGAAGGAGGTCATGTGCTGTCTCCTCCCCCTTTCCCACCGGCTGCTCGGGCCAGAGCTGGTGCGGAGACCACGCACGTGAGATGCTGTGAGGGGCAGGAGGGGCCCAGGCCCCCAAGACAGAGAAGCCACACAGGCGCAGGGTACCCACGTGGACGGTGACATAAAGGACAAGAGCATAAACGCGCCTTGCGTGGACGCCCTGGCCTACATCCTCACCAGCACCGTTGCTTGGGGATCCTCGACATTTGCAGTGGAAGTCTCTGACCTAGACTCCAGCAAGTAGCAAGACCGGAATGAACCCGACTCCCCGTCTCAGGGAGAAGTTAAACGTTCCTCCCGCTCAGCTCATCCCCTGTGAGGTCAAGAACGAGGCACGAGTCAGCAGACGTGGCTGTGTACTGGGGCAGTGAGGGGCACAGTGAGGGCAGAGAGCGCCAGCGCCGCGAGCTTTCTCCTGGAGGTGATGGCAACGTTCTGCCGTGGCCTGTGACGAGGTCGTGCGACCCAAGCACACAAGCAGCCCCTGTGCTGGACAGGCTAACGAGCAGGGCAACAAAACGCTGGGAACTCAGCAGGCAGGGAAGGCGCAAACTCAGAAAACCCGAGCGTCTAGGGTCTCCTTTGAAATAATCCTAGGCACACAGAAAGGCGCCAAACCGGCGGAGCCCCGGGACGTACTTCACCCAGCGGACACCTACACAGGCACAGCACCGTGACCAAAACTGATACAGACACCAACTAGGGTTCATTCCCGGCTCATCGGTCTGGTTTATCCAAGGGTGCCGGAAGGTGTGTCCTCGAGGCACCAGGGCACACGATGCTGGTGTGCCCTGGCTCACGTCCAGGTGGGCCTGCCAGCCACCCACTGTGGAATGACCACTTCCCCTCGCGGATCAGTAACCAGGGGAGTTCTCCCAGGCGACAGTCACCCTGTTTCTCAAACTCTGGCCCACCCACCTGGGCGGGTAGCAACCATGGGTCCCACCTCCCCTGTCCCCTCCCTGCGGGTCAGTGGGAATCCCTCACGGGAGCGCTGCTCCTCCTCACCCACCGTCAACAAGACCGCGGATGGCCGTCTACCCTGCAGGTCCCAGCTGCTCCACCCTGGCGGCCACAGGCGTCTGGAGAGGCCAGGCTGATTCTGGTCCCACCTCGCGCCCTGCCACCACGCACAACTCCCTGTTCATCGTGTTTTCCCCACGCCAGCCCCCCACACAGCGCTTCTCCAAGCGCTCTGCTTCCTCTCCC